AGAGAATAAGTATTTCTATATGTGCTAAGCACTTTTAACAAATATAATCTCATTTGTGGTAGGTGCTAGGGATAGGAGAATCTGTGTATGTATGTATTTGGGAATATCACAGAGTCATAGCTTTAGAGCTGGAAGGAAACTCAGATGTCTGTGAATGCAAACATTTCATTTAATAGATAAGAATCTGAGGCCCAGAGAAGTTAAATGTCTTGGCCAAGGTCACACTACTAGCAAGTATCTGAAATGGAATGTGAACCTAAGTCTTCCTGAAAAGTACAGAACACATAGTCTTTGCTTTCAGGCATAGCATAGGATAGTTAGTAAAACATGACTTTTTTGGTGGGGGGGGGGGCCGAGACAATTGGGGGTTAAGTGACTTGCCCAGGGTCACATAGCTAGTAAGTGTCAAGTGCTTGGTCTGAGGCCAGATTTAAACTCAAGTCCTCCTGACTCCAGGGCCAGTGCTCTATCCACTGTGCCACCTGGCTGCCACAACATGACATCTTCTAAAGTAGCTCTCTAGGGCTTCATCATGGTATGGAGCTGAATGGTAGTAGGAACTCTGGTGGGTCCTACCAAGCTAGGAAGGCTTAAAATATAGGTTTGGTCAAGTACATGTATTATGTGAGGATCAGCCTAGCTAAGTTCAGAGAGGCTCTTTATGACATGATTAGCCACCAAGTGATTAATTTTTGGGCTGCAGCAGCTCATGAAACAGATTAGTAAGATGTGGGGAAGGGGTGTAGCAGAACTGTTGATCTTTTAAGTATTAAAGAATAGAGGGGATACAGATTATATGTGTGATTTCACTGATATAGCAAAGTCCCATATACCAATGCAGGTTAGCACCTTCTCTGCTGCTTCCAGAGAGATACCTAAGAGCTCTTCGTCCAGGGTCATGCAACCAAGTGTCAGAGAAGAAACTTGAACTCGAGTCTTTCCTGGTTCTGAGGCGAGCCCTACCTAATATGACATGCTGCCTCTCAATGACGAGTACAAAAACTGACATTTATATAGCACTTCAAAGTTTATACAACAATTTACATATTGTTTCATTTGAGCCTCGGAACACCCCTGTGAGGCAAGAACTACAGATATTATCCCCATTTTAAAGATAATAAAACTGAAGCCCAGAGAAATTAAATGATTTGCCCATGGTCACACAGCTAGAGTCAGAGATGCAATCTGAACCCAGGTCTTCCAGAATCTAAATTCAAGCATTTTATCCACTCTGTAAAAACATTTATAAAATAGCATACAAATTGACTTAGGCACTAGGTGGCACAGTGGCTAGAAAGCAAGGGCTGGAGTCAGGAAGACTTCCTGAGTTCAAATTTGAACTCAGATACTTATTAGCTGTGTGACCCTGGGCAAGTCACTTAACCCTGTTTGCCTCAGTTCCTCATCTGTAAAGTGAGCTGGAGGAAGAAATGACAAATTATTTCAGTATTTTTGTCAAGAAAACCCCAAATGGGATCATGAAGAGTTGGACGTGACTGAAAAATGACTGAACAAAATACAAATGACTGCAATGGAAAAATGAATAGAGACAAACTCATGACCTGTATGACCTTGAGTGTACAAATATGCAACAACATGGTTCTACTGAACATACTAATTTCATCAGAGCTCTAAATTTTGCCCTTAACTCACTAGCTGATGGAAGCAAGAATCAATTGAGGAATGCCTGCTAGAAGACATCATTCCTGAGCTGTTTTGAAAGCAGGCAAGCAGGACCAAATTCTTCCCACTATAACTATTAGTCTGTCTTGGCAAGTATTTTGTAAGATGCAGGACTGAGGTGTATCATTTATTAGAGTAATGGAGAAGGATTAGATTCTCTCTCTTCTGCCAATGGATTCAGTTTTCACAGTCCACTGTTTCAGAGAGTTCTATTGCCCCAATTCTTTCACAGTGGTATAGTTGATAGAGTGATGGACTTGGAGTCTAGAAGACCCAAATTCAAATTCTGCCTTGGATACTTACTATCTGTATGACCCTGTTAACTCGCTTAACCTCCTTAAGAGTCAGTTTCCTCCTCTGTAAAATAAAGATAACAGTTCCTCAATGGGTTTGTTCAGTCATTTTTCAGTCATGTCCAACTTTTAGTGACTCCATTTTGGGGTTTCCTTGGCAAAGATGCTGCAGCAGTTTGTCATTTCCTTCTCCAGTTCATTTTACAGATGAGGAAATTGATCCAAACAGGGTTAAGTGACTTGATCAAGGTCACATAGCTAGTTAGAGGCCGAATTTGAACTCAAGTCTTCCTGATTCCAGGCCTGGTGCTCTATCCACTGCACCACCCAGCGGCCACTGTTGCTAAGTGTAATGAGGAATAAATGAGATTATATATCTATATGAAATAATATTATTTTACATAATAATCTATAAACAGACTCCTTTAAGGTTTGTAAAGCAATATTATATATATAATATACATAAAACACACACATATAAATGGTTTGTAAAGCTACATATATCTTTACATATCTATCTTTACAAACCTTAAAGGTTTATAAATATTAGCTAGTTTATAAATGTTAGCTAGTAGTAGTAGTAGTAGTACTACTACTACTACTACTACTATTGTACAAATGAAGAAGAGTATAAGCTAATACAAAAAAATCATTTGATAGTAACTTAAGTAATTCTTACTGCTAGGGTCAGCAAATCTCTCTCAAAACTGACACAGAACGTTTTTGCTCAAATACCACAGTGTATGGTAAATTTCTGAAATAAGACATTTCTTAACTTCTCCTAAATTCTCCAATTTGATGTCTGGTGTCTCTTTTCTTTCCGCTACTAACAGTGAAAACAGCTCAGCAAGGAAAATAAACCACACAAAAGATTCTAAGAAGAGTTAGATGATCTCTATTAGTCATCCATGGCATCAACATCTGGCACAGGGCTAGTCTAGGAATGTTATCAACCTTCTGTCAGCAATGCTTTGTTCTTCATGTGACTGGGTAATAAAGGTAAAATGAAGCCTCTTCCAGCCTTGGTGACTCCGGAATTGACAATGAGTCTAATTACATGTACAGGTTGATGCATAATTGTTTGCATCTTGTGTCCCTCATTGGATTGTGAGCACCTTGACTGTCTTTTACCTTTCTCTATACCCCAGCACTTAGCACAGTACCTGGTGCATAGCAGGTACTTAATAAATGTTTACTGATGGATTGATAATAACTACAGTAATAAGTTCATTTCACTTGTATTCCAACTGCAGGAGCCTTACTTTGATGGGTATGAACACTCTTGTAGCATTAAAAAAAGAACATCAAGAACTTTTACATGTACCTACCCATGCCTGAACATACATTGTAGAAGATGAGACCTTGGCAAGAGAAATGGATGACCAGTTTTTATGGGAAGTAGCACTTTAACAGTGTGGCTTAATGGGAAAAAGTAGCAGTAGTTGGACTCTTAAGAGACTAGGGATCGAATTCTGCCTCTGACATGTAGGAGCTGTGTAGCAGTGGGCAAGTTATCTATTTTTTCTGTTACTCACTTTTCTTATCTGTAAAATGGAGATAATAATCCTGCTTACACCAGAAGACTGTTGTGAAGATTAAGTGAGATGATATATGTAAAATACTTTGCAATCCCTACATTACCTACTAATTCTTATTTTCTTGTTATCAAATGTAACACAGAGACATCTGTAGATATCCACTAATAGTTATTTTTACCTCCAGCCCTCCCAGTCAGGAATTTCTTTTTGAAAAGCCTCAAAACCAGTTAAATGAACTATTTTCATTTCTGCTCTTTAGATGAAAGCGCAGGACCCTCCAAACCGTTGAAATCCCCAAAATAAATATAGACTACAAACATGTTGCCAAATCAAATCCTAAAATTAAGCACGCTGATTAAGCTGTCTCCAAAACTCACGTGGATTTTATAATTGGTATTTTAAAGTGATATACTAGGCAAAGGATAAAATAGAATGACCACAAGTATATTCATTCAACAGACACTGCCTGCATTGTACAAAGTACTATACGTATAACTTTTTATGTTTAACACTAACTACAAAACCTATTTCAATGTTATTTTTAATTCACTTTATGTCTTACAAAGAATGAAACTTTCTTACATCTATGATCATTTCAACCATTATCTCAATCATGTATCATTGATATATACATGTGTTAGCTTTTTTAAATTTAAAAAATCAAAGTTGATTTCAGAGTTCTCTTTGAGAATATTATTGCAGGTATTATCAGAATATTGAATAATATAATTATGGTGGTGAAATTCTGGGCATACATGTTTCTTCTAGTACAACTTGAGACCTGAACATCAACTTCTGATACAAGGAAAATGCAAAATACTAATGACATCTATTTGCTGTCTTAGTTCCTAATACAGGTGCCCAGGTTGGTATCACTCATATATATATATATATGTATATATATATATATATATATATATATATATTATATATGTATATATATACATACATATATATACATATACATATATACATGTATGTATGTATATGTGTGTGTATATATATACACATACTCTCACATATATGAATATGTATATATGAGTGATAACATATATATTCAGAAGGCAGAGAAGAGAAGAAAAGAGATACTGTTGATCTATGCCATAACAATCTTTGCCAACTACCTTCTGTGTTCATTTGAAGTTTTTGTGGCAAGGAAAGGAAGGAATGCTGAGAAGAAAGAAAAATTGAGCATTTGGGTCCTTGTTGGAACCATATTACTTTCTTCCAGACTCGCTTGGCCCTCTTTTCTGGAACACCAGGTGTCCTCTGAGTCACTGTGCAGTAGAAAAAGCACTGGAACCTGGCTTCAAATCCTAGCTCTGCTATTTTGTTGTAGAGCAACAGTTCAGTCATGTCTGACTTTTCATGACCCTATTTGGGGTCTTCTTGGCAAAGATACTGCAGTGGTTTGCCGTTTCCTTCTCCAGCTCATTTTACAGATGAGGAAACTGAGGCAAACAGAGTTAAGTGACTTGTCCAGGGTCACATGGCTAGTAAAGGCCATATTTGAATTCAAGTCTTCCGGACTCCAGGCCTGTCACTCTACCCACCGGGCCAACTCTATCTGCTGAAATCTTTTCCTGCCTGAAAAGCCTGCCTCAGGTGCCACTGCCATCATGAAGTCTTCCTTGATCTTGCCAGCTCAAACACATGGTCTTCCAGAAAACATGAGAAAATCGATTTAGAGTTAATTAGAAAGAAACTTAGGAAAATTCTATCATTTTACAGGTGAGAAAGGCTAAATGACTGACTAAATCAGCTGCTACTTTACCAACTGTGTAAACTAAACAAAGTCATTGAACTCCCCTGGGCCTCCTTTCCTTCATCTTCAAAACAATGAAGGCTTTAGTAGGTGATCTTTAAGGTCTCTTTCAGCTCTAATTCCTACACTGTGAAAACAGTGCATGAAGTTTCAGAACCTTAGATTTCCTTCCATTCATCAGTAATCCACCTAGGGGGTTTTCTTTTTGAAAAGCCTCAAAACCAGTTAAATGGGCTATTTTCATTTCTACTCTTTAGATAAAGGCAGCAGGACCTGTTACTTACATCATAGACAAACAAGAGATTCTAGGCTCTCTGCATTGGAAGGGACCACAGAGGTCATCCAGGGCAATGTGTACCTGAACAAGAATTTCCTTTACAAAATCTCAGCCATGTGACCATTCGGTCTTCGCTTGAAGAGTTTTAGTGAGGGAAACTGAGGCAGCCCATTCCATTTTTGAATAGCTCTACTTACCAGGAGGTTTTTCTTTCCTAAATTCATCTCTGCAACTTCCATTCATAGTATTCCTAAGCTTTGTTTATAGGTGCTGCTCTTATTGTAGCCCAAGATTGTATTAGCTTTTTTGGCTGATATCACAAGACTTCTGCAAAGACCTGTATTAAAATGATGCACAGTGAAGAAAACAAAACCAACACAATATATTGACTATAGCTATTTAAATTTAAAAGCCTCTGGACAAATAGAGTAGATGACACTGGTTTATGTATTATCAGTCACTATCCTTCTTTCATGTTTTGTTATATAATTGTTTTTTGAATAAAATGTGTGTAGTTGATGGTTTGTTTGATGTGTTACATCAAAGTTTGTCAATTAAAATATATTCATTTAAATCAAGTGCCATAGTGGTATATTTGCTGCATAGTGTCTATTAATTGTTAAAAGAGTTTAGGCAAAGGCTTATCAGTCCCTCTCATAGACTGTTTTGACCATTCCTTGATTTTTTCCCGTAGCTTTTCCCATCTCTTTTCTTTTGTACCAGTTGTACTTCATGCCTGGAATCATCTCACCTCCACAACTCAGTCTGCTGAAATCTTTTCCTGCCTGAAAAGCCTGCCTCAGGTGCCATTGCCATCATGAAGTCTTCCTTGATCTTGCCAGCTCAAACACATGGTCTTCCAGAAAGCATGAGAAAATCGATTTAGAATTCGTTAGAAAGAAACTTGGGAAAATTCCATCATTTTACAGGTGAGAAAGGCTAAATGACTTCTCCAGGGTCACACCGGTGACAGGTAAGTCAAGAGCTGCGATTTGAATCCAGTTCCATAATCTATGCTCTTTCCATTACGCCAGGCTGAGTTGATAAAAAGGTAAAGAGAAGCTAGATTTTTCAATTCTCAATTACCACTTCTCCTTGATTTTCAAGTGAAACAAAATGTTGTGTACTGACTTTCTTCTATTTTCGGACCATATTTATGTCTTCTATTTCATGAATGCATCTTTTTCTTAAGAAAGTTAAAAAAAATTGTGACCTGAGTACTTCAAGTTAACATTTTCCCATCTGTAGGGGATACACTTCTAACCATTTAATATAGAGAATTTGCATTTTGCTTTTTAATCTACCAAGAAGGTCTATTATATTTAATTATACTAGTGAAAAGTACTACATGAGTTAATTATGATCTTAAAGGACTTATTTCTAAGAAGACGGATCTGGCGTTCCATCACTTAAACACTGTTATATGTCATTGGTACTCAGGTTTTAATAAATGTATTCCGTTAAGAGCCACTTTGGCTCTATTTATTACTACATCCAATTAAAGCAGTGACCACCTAGCTCATCAGTGATTAAAAGGGATGGTGTGTCTGAGACAGAAGCCTCATTAACGAAAACCCTGCTTTCCGGATTAGGTAACAAAACAGGTGGTTCCCCCTCCCCCCTTTTTCCTACTCCATCTGTTCTCTAGTGCTGGCCCTCCCCTCTTAACCCTCCCCCCTTTCAAACAAAGAAGATATTGCCTGAGCCTAGGAGGGGGCAGGACCCGAGAAATGACCCACCTGGAAGGGAGCAGAGCAGGGCATCTGCAAGTGTAGGGCCCTCCTGCGGAGGCACAGAGGTGCCAGTGTGAAAACCAGGAGGTGGAGGAGGCGGCGGCTGTGGCACGGTCTGGTAGCGCCGAGTGGGTGCGCGGAAAAGTTCAGGATGCCTTGCGTGTGAGTGGCGGCGTCCGGGGAGGAGGTACTTACTTAGCGGCTTGGCTTGTATGTATGTGGGAAGGGGAGAAGTGGACGGGAGGCAGGGGGAGGCTGGGGGCGGTGACTTCGGGGCAGCCGCAGCGGCAGGTATAGAACGAAGTGGGGGGAGGCAGAAGAAGAGCCCCCCCTTAGCCGGAGCTCTTCCTTCGGAGCAGCTGGCAGGAACAGAGGGGAGCCCCGCGGCCGAAGCCAGTCAATGAGGGAGAGTGTGGCTGGCAGGGAGGGAAAGGGAAGAGGCGGAGCGTGGGAGCCAGCGGTGTCAATAATACAATAGGGCTCTTGTGTGTCTGCCGCCGCCGCCGCCGCCTCCTCCTCCTCCTCCTGCTAGCCCGGGAGAGGAGGAGAGGGAGCGAGAGCCCACGGGCTGCGGGCAGAGGGCGTGGGGGGGGGGAGAGGGAAAAGAAAAGGGGGCGGGGGGCGCCTGGGGAGGAGACTCGGCTGCCTGCCGCTGGCATGAGGAGTGGAGCAGCACCCGCCGAATAGGCAGGCAGACGCGGGCGGTCGGGAGAAAGGAGGAGGTGGAGGAAAAGGGGAGGGGTGGCGGGAAGGGAGGGGAGTGGGGGGTAGAGAAGAAAGCGAGCAAGCCCGGGCAGGCGGGGAGCGAAGGAGGGAAGGAAGCGAGCGCCGGGGCAGGAATGAGCCCGGGGAGAAAGCCCTAATTCCTCGCTTGACTTACTGCACAGCCTGCGGCCAGAAGAAAGCCCCAATAAAGCCAGAAGGTAAGGCGCCGCGGGGGTGGGCGCAGGGGGTTGAAAGGGGAGGTAGGAAGACCGGGGCGGGAAGGTTTTGTAAACCGGCCGCCTCTTGCCCTTGTCGGCCTCCTCCTTGGCTGGGGCCTGGCGGGTGGGGAGGAATCGGTAAGGGAAAGGAAGGAGGGGGTGGGGGATGACTGGTGCTCCTGCGGCCGCTGCCTGGTGGAGACGGTGCCCGTGCAGCGCCGGGAGCGGCTCCGGCCTCTCGCTCGCCTTGCACGTTCGGGCTCCTCTGGCAGCTCACGACTGGCGGCGGTGCCCGGTCACTCGGCCGGCCCGCCCTCTTTCGCTCTGCCCTGCACTGACCCTGATGCCCGCCCGGGTGTCAGCTCAGCACCCCGGGCTCTAGGCAAGTCTCCTTCCCCGCCTTCATCGCCGCAGTTCTGGAGGGTGCACGAGATAGAGACCCACTGTGTGCGTGTGTGTATGTGTGTGTGTGTGTGTGTGTGCGCGCGCGCGTGTGTGTGTGTGTGCTCGTGCTCTCATGTGGGTCTCAGTCCTTGCACCAGGCTGGAATTTAGCGCCGGAGCCACTGCGGCTGCTTGGCTTGTGCAGGGGGAGGCGGGGGAAGAGGAAGAACAGGGCTGGCCGCCGCCGCCGCCCCTCGCCCCCACCCCTCTCCTTCTCTCCTGTGTCATCTTAAGTATCAGGGCCCTCACTCACCTCCTCCTCCTTCTCTTCCCTGTTCGCTGCTGTCCTGCAACTCTGCACTCTTCCCTTTCCCTATCTCCACCCCCTTCCCCTCACGCCACTCACCCTGCTTGCTTGGGGCAGACGTGCGGGCTAGTGGGTTCGAACCGGGAGGGCGGCGGCCCAAACAGCAGCAGTAGCAGGAGAGTCGGGCCACGGGACAGAAGGATCCCCTGGACTTTAGGAGACTGTTGAGAAATGCCAAAGCAAGAAGAAAAAGGGAGGGGCGGGAGGGAAAAGAAAGAGATTTAGAGGGGGCACAGTAGGGGGATTCTAAGGTTAGAGGGGACGGCTGTGCACATACTTTGGAAGCCACTTGCGCTGCTAGCTCTCCCGGTGGGAGAGTGTTAATTTGTGCCCTTGAGTGCACCAGCTGTGAGGTCTCCTAGTGCCAACAAAGAAGTAGCAAGAGGCAGCCCAGTAACCTGCAGGACTTTTAACTTTCCCTCCTCACGGTCAGTCACTGTTGTTCTTGAATTAGTGTGGTCGGCCTGTTGTTTCCAGGAGTGCTGTTGCTTGGGGGATGTGTAAGTCGGGCGTGATTTCCTTGTTTATGAAGACATTCTCCAACCCTGCAGAACACTGGAAACTTTTTTTTTTTAACGTGCATGCTCAACTCTTCTGGCGTTGGTTTTTATTTCTTTCCTGCAGGAATGTGGAGCAGCCTGTTTAAAAATAATCCTGTCACCACCACCCCTTTTGAAGCCAGATGACAGTAGGTGAGGTGTGGTTTAAAATGGTACAGAACAGCTTATTAAACATCAACATATCTCCCGTGCATTGTAGGAAGGAAGGGTGGTGTCTGGCACTCAATAGGTCAGTGCTACTTCATTTCAGTTAAATAGACACTTATTGAGGGCTTATTAAGTATTTCACTAGGCTGGGCATGATAAGAAATATGAAGATAAATAAAACATTGCCTCTGCCCTCAATGAATTTAAAATCTGTTAGATGAAATGAGGCAGAAATGAAGATGAAATAAAGCCTAGATATAGATAAATACATTATATGTGGTGCTAAAGGGCAGGAGGTGCAAGTGCTTTAAGAAGTTGAGGGAGGGAGGACTCACTTCTCATCTGGTAGTAAAGGTAAGGGATCAAAGAAAGTTATAAGGAAAATAATGGAGCTAATTAGTCTACTACAGAAAATCTTTTTAAAAATCCTGTTATCTTTTGGTGGAGGGAAAGGGAGAGAGCATTTCCTTACATCCTGGTAGAGAAAGGGAAAAAAAAACCTAACCCATGCATGTTAAATAATTACTTGAGGACTTTTTTCAGATAGAGTTATTGTATACTCCATATCAAACACCTGGCTGATCTGTGGCATACTAGGAAATGCTGTAGGAAACTTGTTGGGTTGCTTCAGACACTTTCCCCCCTTATTGAATTGTAAGGAAATCCTCTGCTCCAGGTGTGTTAAAGTTTTCTACACATTTAGTTCTCCAGTAGAGGATGAAACGCTTCTTGACTTGCCAGAACCTCTCAGCTTCCAAATCCCATGTTATATGGTTTTATAGGAAATCAAAAGAGATGTGATTATTCAACCATTTAACTCCTCAGCAGGGTTATACTGTCGAGTGGTAAACATTACAGAAAGAAGCCTTGGAGGTAGAAGACCCATCTGTCTTTCCAGGAATACAGAAATTGTCATCTCTTCAAGGAACCCTGCCTAAAGCTGCCCCTGTAAATCAACCCTTTACTTCCTGCAGCCTGTCAAAATGAATGAAAAATCATTTACGTTAAGAACTAACTTGGACAGGAGTCTAAAGTCTAAAGTAACTAATGCATTTTTCCATTGTAATTGATATTGATAAAAATTATCTTTATCTCCAGATGAACATCTCTGTAGTTATTTTATGGTAAGATAGAAGTGAGGAGGAGAGATGTTAATAGAAAGGAAGAAGTAAAGTCACGCTGCTTTATTATTTCCTTTAACACTTAATAAACTCCATTATTATAGCAATAGGAATCTTGATCATTGTATCTTTTTTTAAAGTAGTTCTTCTGAAATTTGCATGACTTATAAAACCATATAAATATCATCAGAATATCATAAATAAAAATAGATATGACTTTTATGGAGAACTTCAAGATTTACAAGGAGTACTGTCATCTCAACCAGAGTGAAGTAGGTCAAGCACATATTATTATCCTTATTTTACAGATGAGGGACTGAGTTGAGAGGTCCAGTGACTTTTCCAAGGTCATAAAGTTAATAAGTGGCAGAAGGCAATAATTGAACCCTGGGCTCTTTGGCCCCAAAACCAGTGTGGTTTCTGCTGTGTTATACTGTATTGCCTCCAGAAGATTGTTTTGTTCTGAGCACAGAGCCTTATTATGATCTGAGACTATAATTCCTTTTTATCCTAGGAACCTTCTGAAATATGTTCTATTAGTTTATGTTTTTTTTAGGTTGGGGTGGGTAGGAGGGTTCTTACCCTGTTTTGACAGGTGAAAGACCTATTGTTTTCCTACCCCACCCACATTTTAAACTTTTAAAATATGCAGTTTCTTATTTTAAGTTTGAACTGATTTCATGCCATGCTTTAATCTTCTTGCCTTTGTACTTTTCTCCTCAATTTTGTTTCCCCAGTGAAGAGCTCCTAACTTCATATTGTCTCCTTAAAGCATCTCTCCCCCCCTCACACACACACACACACACACACACACACACACACACACACACACACACAGAGTTTATTCTTGATTGTTTAACTCTGTAGAAACCATTTATGGATCATTCATGCTGTTTGCTTTTCCTTGTTCCTCCTGGTTTATAATTTATTAGCAAAAATCTTATAAATTCTCAAATTTGGCCTCAGACACTTGACACTTACTAGCTGTGTGACCCTGGGCCAGTCACTTAACCCCGATTGCCTCACCAAAAAAAATCTTATAAATTCCTTCTCACTTTTGGATCCCTATAAAATTGATCACATGCAGGTGAATCAATCCCCATTCCCTTTAAGAGTTTATGTATAACTGAGAGGAGCAGTAATTTTGAAGGGGCCTTGCAGTTGGGCCCACCTTTATATTTGTAAAGGTGAAAGGATGTGTTGAGTAGCCACCTGGTTGAAATAGGCAGGTGGAAGGAATGAGTTTAGATAAAGAAAGATACATGTTGTTGTAGGGGCCCTACAAATGGAATATTTTGACCTTGTGATCAGGTGCCATTTCCTTTCCTCCAATCACTTATGTTTTGGCTCAAGCATAGTCCAACTTAAACTTAGGGGCCCTTTGTTTAAAGAGTGTTGACTTTTCTCTTATCTCTCCTGCCTTCAGAGTGCCATCCTTGATCATATATAATGTTCAAGGAAGCAGGAAATCCAGATTTTTATCTCTTACTAAATAGTTGTGTGTTTTTGAGCAAATCTTTTTCTTACTGAGCCTCTGGTTTCTCATCTGAAGAGCAATTCAGATTTGCTATGGTTTTGCTCCCCTTTTAGCCTTAGCCCTTTGCCTTTAGGTATGGGTCAGAATTGAACTATTAAGATAGTGGTATGTTTTGAAAGTGAGTAGAAAGTTAGTTGGTGAGAAATTAGAGGTAGAAATTGGTCTTATTTTTGGTGGCAAACATTGATTCCATAATTTATGAAACAAATGACCAAACTAAGATGATAGATTATAAGACAGTACTCAGGACCAAGCTCAGTACTGAAAAAAAGTATTTTTTTTTCTCTATCAGCCTGTACCAAGGAACTTCTACACGTAGCCCAAGACTTAGCAAATAACGCAGATTTGAAAGCTGTTAAATTCTGCTACTCAAAGCACACACTTCATCAATGAATGTGTTGATAAGAAACAAAATTTTACAACATAAGAGTTGAAAAACTTTTTTTTTAAATCATGAAAGCATGTCTAGGAGGGAGGCTGACAAGAATACCAGGGTGGACACCAGAAC